ATAAGTAATCTATACATATAAAAGGAAGGACTTTGTGTGTTTGTGGTGTTGTAACTTTGTGTGTTTGTGGTGTTGTGACACTATATCTCAGACCACAGGCCAGCTAGAGCAAAGTTATGAATACATTAAATGCGTGTTTTGACCAGGCCAAGAAAATGACGTGCCGATTTTTTCGATCCCATGTCTGTCTGTTGTACTGTAACAGATCTGCTTATTCAACCAATCACGGCGCAGTCACGTTATGATGTCATCACTTGCCGGGTGCGATCGGTTGAAGATTTTGGACTATAAAGCGTTTTAAAATGTTTTTGAGGCATATAGAGGAAGATAAAGCTAAAAAAAAGTATGTTGCAGTAAGGGTGGTGTCGAAGCGTGAAGAAGGGAAAAACTATTCAGTATGCTAACGGATCACGCGTGCTTACTCATTTGAACATAAGTAGGCCTAAAAACTTCTAATTGCAAATCTATATATATAAAATCCCCCGGGCAACGCTGGGTACCTCAGCTAGTAAGTAAAAAGACCGATTCCTAATCTATTATATAGAATTTACTAAAGCGCCTGCTGACAATTAAAGTAACATTTCCTTACTTCTGAAGAACAAAATGGATGCCGTGGATAGAATCTTTCCGTCAGTAATAATCCCTCAAACACTGTAAATCTAGCAATGCATAAACAAGAATGAGAGAGCAGTTTCAGTTATGTGTCTTCTTATCTTCACTGTTCGATGAGTGCATACAGTTCCCTTCTTGCGCAATAATTCACTTCCAACACGAATAATTTAGTGTATTCAACTATGCTCTTGTTTTGTGTAAGAAGCAACACGTTGTCTAACACAACGAATCTGTATAATCCACGTCAGCGGTATGCAGCCGTCGATGCGATAAAAAACACAAGAGCCGAAAACACAAGTACAAATATATTTTATTTTACAAATATTGATTTACAGCCACTATTAATTCGGTTACATAATATTTTCATACATGAGTACATTGGAATTATTCAAGTTCGAAAAAATTATTTAAGTTCGAAAAATGTAAAAAGAGGCATTATTATTTTTTTAAGGCAGATTTTTAGAGGGCGCATTTTTGTTATGAGAGGACGCATTGCGCCTTTCGTGCCCCCGTGGCTAAGGCACTGTGTATACAAAACATTTATTTTGTATAAATACCTTGTCAATCTGGATAATCACCATCTTGATTAAGATCTTGAGATTTTTCCGTTATAAAATAGTGAATTTTTAAAATTATGATTTAAAAAAAAATAAAAATCAACTGTCTTCGTTTGTCGCTATTTTTCTTTTTTATTCGATAATGGTATCAACTATTACTCTCGATCTTCTATAGTATTAGCAAAGCGCCATTTCCATAACCACTAATAATGGAAATTGTGTAATATTTTATTTCCATGGTAGGTACATTCCTGCTTCGCATATGAAACGTATTGAGATAGTCGAAGAATAGTAAAAACCTCGGCATGGCCAGGTGGCAATTTGCGGGTCGCGAGTTCGAATCCCCGTCCCACCAAACATGCTCGCACTTTCAGTCATGGGGGCGTTATAATGTGATGGTCAATTCACTATTCGTTAGCAAAAGAGTAGCTCAACAGTTGGCGGTGGGTGGTGATGACTAGCTGCCTTCCCTCTAGTCTTACACTGCTAAACTAGGGACGACTAGCGCAGATAGCTCTCGTGTATCTTTGTGCGAAATTCAAAAAACAAACAAAAGAATAGTGAATTTTTAAGATTACGGCATCAAGAAGTGTAAAAGACAATTGTCGTCATGTGTCTTTGTTTTATAAATTTCTTATGTGCATATGTGTTTAAATCGTATTTGAATATCATCTGAAAGTATTTTCTTTTGCCCAATCTGTTGGCTGTAGAGCATCAAAAATGAAAAGTTGTGGCAGTGACTATAATTAAAGCTAATTGCTGTACATTATATATCGTGTACACTCGCGCTTCGCATACGAAGCGTATTTAAACTTTAGGCTTAATCTTCGACTTTTAGGTGCCTGTTGTAATTTATATTGAGATGTAATGATATTCCGTTGTTTATAAGTCATGGTAAGATAAAAAAATAACTTAATGTGTTTCCTTGTGTATTGTTTATGTTACTGAAAAAATTGTCTTTAATTTTGTAAACGTCGTAGCATTCGTATAGAACAATGCTCGTTAAACGTCGTTCACTTTTGTACTCGTATAAACGTAAAAGACCAATGTACAATTAGCCAATAGAAATATTAGATTTCCAGGTGAGTGAGCACGCTTACATGCACGGACTGACTGACGCACATTGTTCTTTAAATTACATAGATTTTTGCAAGCACTTGGTTATAACCATTGTATATAAGTATATCTAGTTATAGGTTCTAAGTTAACTAGCTCAAAGGTATTTCAAAATAAATGGGGGTCGAGTTTGGTTCAGTGGTTAACTTACGAGATCTGAGGGTCCCATCTGTTAGTAAAAAAAAAAATTCTCATCACACTTTGAGGCCGTGGGTGAGTTATAAATTGTGGCCAAATCCTACCATCCATTCAGACAAGAATAGGCCTGGAGTTGGTGGTGGTTGCTGTTGACTAACTACCTTCCGTCTAGTCTGTCAGTTCAAAATTATGGACAGTTAGCACAGTTAGGCCTTGAGTAGTTTCGCTCGAATATCTGAAAATATACAAACACATCTATAAGTTGAACTATAAAATAAACCCTATCTTCACGTACACCAGCACTTGCACTTTTAGAGGTTTGAGCATATGGCACAAAACAGGGACTTTTTTAACATCCAAGTTATTTTTTGAAGGGGGGGGGGGATTTGCCTCTCCAGTAAATAAAAATGCACCTTCAGTTAATATGGCTAATTCTGGGGACAAGCATACCTTCACTGATAAACTTACAGAAAGGAAAACATTCGTTAAATTGTTATTAAAATGTTAAAGTTTTTCATTTGGGCATGGGGTCCCCTAAGTCTTCAAATGAAAAACGTTATTAAATCTTAAAAGCTTTTCCCAGGCCTGTCCCTGGCTTTTCCATGAAATATATGTAGCTATAGATCTAATAATGATTATATTCTTATGATATAATTCATTAGATTTATAGTTGTCATACAATAATAAATATTCAATGCAAGCTGATACAAATATTGTTTCTCGAACATTTCCAGAAAAAAAAATCCACAATTTGTCGACAGTTGTGCAGAGAAGTGGCCTTTTATAGAGGAACTTGGAGACATTCCTTTGACCTCTAATCATGGTTCTCGACAACTCTAAAAGCTCTTATGTGTCTGCAAAATATTGCTGCAACCGTAACACTTACGCCATACAATATGCTGTTGGAAAGATTAGTTTCATGTTATAGCTGAAACGTATCTGTACATCTCATGCACACCCAAGAAGAAAAAGCAAATGCAAGAATTATGATCGCACTATATGGTGGTGGCAAGTTTAAGTTTGATCTTTGTGAAGGATAGACGATTTCGAGAGCTTGATTTTCTATCCTCATCATTAACGAAACAAAACAAACTAGTGATCTAAGTTAAATTAAAAAGCAGTAATTAGTTTGCAAAAAGTGTAAGTATATACATGAATATACATAGTTATTTGATATTTTTTAGAAAATAAAGTGTCATTTATTAATTGCCTCGTTGGGTTTGTTTTGTATTACGCGCAAAGCTACACGAGGGCTATCTGCGCT